GGGTGCTCAATGACTTTCGGCTTTTACAGCATCTAAGTTGTATCATTTTAAAATCCTTCAGAAGCCCTTCGATGTAGTTAAAAATGGTTTTGTGTTTGTCCTGCTAGAACAGTTACGACTAAATAGGGATTTCGATCCTCACTGGGTGCCCCACATTTTCGGCATTGTGCCGCATCTCATCTACACTTAAAAAATCACCTAGGACACCTCGACGTGGTGCGATGATTAACAAGCATGCTTCAATGAAACATTTGCGACTAAGTAATGAGTTCGATCTTATGAAATCCATATTTCGGTCTTGTTTTTATATTAACTACGCTTATGAAAATTTTCCATAAATATATAAAAAAATTTTTGTTTTAAAATGAATTGTGATGCCATACTTTTGCAAAAGAATGTATTAGTATAACACCATTATCTAATCAAAATATAAATTCTGTTCAAAGAAAATACAAGTAAAAAATAGTCTTCTTGTTGAAGTACCATAATTTATAACATATATTAATGGCCTTGACTTGTATTTTGTAACAAGTAGATCAACTTTGAGCTTTGGCAAGGCATCATTTAAAAAACAGGAGCGTAATTTTAGTGTAAAAAATAAGGCGACAAATAATTTGCCTCCCATAACAAATTTAAATTATTTCGTGTGTTTTGCTGTGAGGTTGTGTAGAAGTTGCTTAAGGTTGGACCCAGAACAGAACCCATTGAAATGCTATCACGTTGCACATATATGCTATTTCTGTGATCATAGAATAAGACTTTAGTAGTACAGGCTAAGAGTAATTTGCTTAGTATTTTCGGTTTAATTTTTAATGGGGGCAGAGATGAATTATTATATAACTTTTTAATAATAATGTCAAGTATTTTGTTATGGCATGATTTGCAAAAAAAAAAATTGCTTATGATGTCGTGGTGTCACTTTTGAATTAAAAATGAAGTTGACAATTAGAGAGTGTTTTCTAATTAAGCACTTAAGAGGTGGTTCCATGCTCCTCAAAACCTCCTGATCAGAAGTCTTGCTGTTGAACGTAGTTTATCGTCTTACCCAGGACGCGGATGTAGGTTATCGTCATATCCAGGACGGTGAGCAGTAGGGATTGACTAATTAGCATCAGTGATAAAAAATAACGTACAGTCATAAGCCTAATCTGTATCATTCTTCCACTTGTCTTCTCACATTACTAGTGCAATAACTTATTAAATATATATTTTATTAATTTATTAAAATTAAGAACTAGGGTTTCATTATTAGGTACCATGGTTTTTAAAATTTTATAAGTTAAACATTTGATTTAATGCTTTGAAATATTTACGTATGTCGGTGTAATTAATTGGTAAAATACTTTTTAGTTAGTTGGTAGATAAAAACTGTTTGAATTTGGGATATAATAATTAAAAGTGGTAATTGAGGTTTGTGTGTTTTGATAGAGAGCGGGTGAATAAGGAAAAATGGAAGGAAAATGTATGCGTGAGTAAAGAAATAAAAATACATATTGGATTACAATGGATGGAAAATTCACATCACTTATAGCAATAATAAAAATATCCTGATTAAGAATTTTTTTTAAATTTGAAAAAAAAATACATAATCGTGTGAATTTTCGTTTTTAATGTAATGACTGATATTTTTCTCGAAGCCTTTGAAAAAAAAATACGTTACACATTGGTGTCAAAAGTTGATCGTGAAAATTAATATGAGAATAAAAAAATTTTATGACGCGATTTTTGTTTTTCTTGCTTATGTCATTTTTCTCCGTACCTTAGCGAGTTGTGAGGAGTAGACAGGTTCACCTATTGCCCTGTTCACACTCCTCTCCGGTTTTCTGAAAAGAATATATTTTTATTCCACCATTATGTGTCAAAATATGATTTCCAGTTTCAAGAAAATCTACTTTAATCCTATACTTCTAATGTCTCCGTCTAAACATTAAAATTTTATTTATTAATTATTTTCTCTTCAATAGGGTAAGATACGTTTGCCTATCGTCTGGTTCACCCTCCTCCCCTGTTTTTTGTAAAGAAATGCAACCTAGGAAGCGAAATAAATTCTAGTAAGAACGATGTGAAAATTTGCTTAGTTAAATCCTGATCTCCCAGACAACCTCACACGTACATTTTTTCTCACCACTGTAGAGGCGATTATAATGTATGATGCCAATGCTTGGATATTAACTAAAAGCCTTGGATCTAAGCTTGATGGAACCTACCCCGGATGCTGAGAACTATACTTAACAACTCTTGGGGGCAACATCCTTGATATTCCTACAATCTTATGCGAATATAGAATGCGCTTTGAAACTGGTTTTGCAGACGATTTTTGTTAAAACAAGGACATTTGAGTGATCTAATATTGAAAATATAATATGGCAGATAGAGAGTCTGGTCGACCAGCAATCACCGACATTGTCATGATACAGAATGCCACCCGAATGATCTTCTGACCTTGATGCAGGGCCGTTATTGTTGGCGTGATAGTCTCATGAATATCCGAGCGAACTCGATCAAATAAAAAATAAAATTATTTACCCCTTGTTACAATGCTTAGGATTTCATATTTCGTATATGCCTAAGAAAAGTGTTTTCATTTCTCTTTTTACCTTTAACTCCTTGCGTCTTAAATATGGCATTATTGCCTTTGTGGGTTAATTTTTTAAAAAAATCTTTGAAAACAATAAATGAATATTAAATGAAAGTAGAAAGTTTATCTCACTATATATTTTAAAGATATTTTTTAATTAATAATCAAAATAATGCGAGAATAAAATATTTTAACGATCGATTTTTGTTTTTCTTGCAAAACAAACGCCTCAATTGTTTTACCTCAGTATTCGAATAAAAGATGATGCTGAAAGAGGGAGAGAATAAAAGGGAGAATTTTTCTTTTTGTCAAAGTTTAATTATCTAATTGCTCAAGATTCTAGAGAAATAGTCGTCTCCTTCTATCATTCCAGAAAGTACCCGACTCCATCTTCCAAGCTTTAACCTTAAAGAAGTCCTAGAGTATTGTTAACATATCTATGCTCTAGCTACCTAATCCTCACTCTCCAATTTTGAATAAAATCGATTTGGCAACCATCTGGTACACTTTGCAGCCCCTTTCCCGCAGACGCCATGTTGCAAAACTGTTATCGTTATTTCCATGATATCTTTACAGACGAGCTCCATTCTTTAGTTCAATTCAGACTTTTACAGCTAGGACATAATATGCTATTTCTACGGAGTCAAATAACCCTCGTTACCCCCGTGTTCAAAGTTTAAGAAGATACAACTTTTTCTCCAAGAATTTTTACTTTAAAGAATAGAATCCTGACTGGGTGCTTCCCTGAACAATTCAATATTCACATCTACAAATCAAGGGTAATTATTCATTTGTCCTAATCCTCGTAATGTTCATTAGCAACCGCCTCTTCTTTCACTATTACGAAACACCCCATTCATCAGGTACCATTGTAGTTCATAATTATCTAACGTGAACGGCAGCTGAGCTTTTTTATTTTAGGGAATCTAGTATTGAAAAACAATGAGAATATTGGTCATATCTGAAAGGTAATCTACCAGACTAGAACAAATGGACATTCTACGCGCCACGTAGGTCACATGTTCTCGTTTCACTTTCTGAATTGTATACCTAATTTAATAAGGAAAATTACGTTTATTAAAGTTTTACTTGTTCACTCACATTATCTCTCACGCCAAGAGGTTTATAGATTCTGGTGTCAAAGGGAAATAACTATTAAATGACGGAGTAACCTCATTTAACTTATTAATTCCCATTTTCAATAACACTCTAAAGTGGTGTCGTGAGAGGATGAAGCGAGATTGAATGGCGTTCTGTAGTGTCGAAAGATGTCAGCAGGTACTAACTTCATGTAAATGATGTTTGTTTGCGTGTCGTGTCAGCTATAAACATCTTCTAGAATACATTCGTCTGCGATACAAAGACCCAATATGTGGCTTAATGGAAACTCACAACTCTCACCTCTCTTTGATAGGATAGCACTTGTCCTCATGATGCTTATTCAATGCAAGATATTCCGACAGACATCCTTCACAGAGAGAAAAAAAAGGAAAGTGTTCTGTTTAGATGACGCTGATGAAGTACGTCACATGCACTTTAAGAAATGTTAGGTAAGCTTGACATATTTGTGTAGGATGTTAGAATAATGCAGAACCCATCCTTTCAACAAACTGCACACGGACAGAAAAAAAATAAGCAAAAGTAAATAAAAAAAAAAAAAAGTGGCGAAACAAAGACAAGGATTGTCTTCTCACAGTACTTATTCAACTTATACAATGAGATGATTCTGAGACAATTAGAAGTCTTTATCAAGATTCATTATTGTGGGCCACAAGAAAAAGTCTAAGACAATATTCATGCAAACACAGAAATGAAACCTACAAGATCTCATACAGAAGTTAATGAAGCAAAAAGACGAGAATAAAGAACTAAACATTAACACAATGAGAAGAAGAAGAAGAAGAAGAAGAAGGCAAGAATGCATTGTTGTTAGCAAAAGGAACAGCCCAACATGAAAGTTACAAATTGGGGATATCAAATCAAACAAATACAACAGTTTAAATAGCTGGGAAATGTTTTAAGAGAGGAGGAGATAGCGACACAGAAATCCGAAGGCGATTTCGGATAGCGAAAGACGCTTTTCAAAAGCTAAGCAAAGTAGTAAGAAACGGGAAAATTTCGTTTGAAACAAAGTACTGAACTGTTATATAATGTCAGATAAAAGAAGAAGAAGAGCAGCTACACTCAATACATATATCTTGCGTCATTTAAACATATAAGCTACATAATGAGAAGATATGGTAATCGTAATAATAAGAGTTATGACCAACAACGTCATGAAGGGGCAAGGTACATAGAAGAAGAAGAAGAAGAGCAGTTACACTAAAGACATACGTCTTGAATCATTTAAACATATAGGCTACATAATGAGACAATATCTAAATGGTAATTGTTATAATAAAAGTTATGACCGACAACGTACTGAAGGGGTAAGGTACATAGAAGAAGAAGAAGAAGAAGAAGAAGAAGAAGAAGAAGAAGAAGAAGAGCAGCTATACTAAAGACATATATCTTGCATTTTTAAACGTATAGGCCACATAATGAGAAGATATCTAAGTGGTAATTTTAATAATAAGAGTTATGACCGGGAACGTTCTGAAGGGGTAAGGTACATAGAAAAAGAAGAAAAAGAAGAAGAAAAAAGAGGAGGAAAAGAAGAAGGAAAAGAAGAAGAAGAAGAGCAACTACACTAAAGACATATAACTTGCATCTTTTCAACATATAGGCTAAATAATGAGACGATATCTAAGTGGCAATTGTAATAAGAGTTTTGACCTGAAACGTCATGAAGGGTTAAGGTACATAGAAAAAGAAAAAGGAGGAGGAGGAGGAAAAGAAGAAGAAGAGCAACTACACTAAAGACATATATCTTGCACCTTTTAAATATATAGGCTACATATTGAGACGATATCTAAGTGGTAATATTAATAATAATAGCTATGACCAACAACGCCATGAAGGGGCAAGGTACATATTAGAAGATGAAGAAAAAGAAAAAGAAGAATAAAAAAAGAAGGAGGAAGGAAAGAAGAAGAAGAAGAAGAAGAAGAAGAGGAAGAGAAGATAATGAGACGATATGTAAATGGTAATTGTAATAATAAATGTTATGACTGGCAACTTCCTGAAGGAGTAATGTACATAGAAAAAGAGGAAGAAGAAGAAGAAGTACAAAAAGAAGAGTGCAAGAAGAAATTGTCGAAGATTACAAAAAAGGGGAACTCTAAAAGAAGTAAAAGAGAAGTTGAAGAAGAGCAACTACACTAAAGACATATATCTTACATCTTTTAAACATATAGGCTACACAATGAGAAGATATCTAACTGGTAATTGTAATAATATGAGTTATGACCGGCAACGTCCTGTATGGATAAAAATAATGGTACATAGAAGAAGAAGAAGAAGAAGAAGAAGAAGAAGAAGAAGAAGAAGAAGAAGAAGAAGAGCAACTGCCCTAAAGTCATATAACTTGCATCTTTTAAACATATAGGCCACATAATGAGCCGATATCTGATTCGTTCGGTTAATCCATCTAAGTGGTAATTGTAATATACATTATCATTATAAGGAAACATTTGATATTCATTGACCGAGCAGCCAGTATTACACTCGCTTGGAATTTATATTATTATTCTCTTAAAACAATTTAATTAGGAAAATAGGTTTTCAAGTTCAGTAGCTATTGTCACTCTTTCCAGTATTGAAGGGGGTTTCCTTCCTAACCTTTTGTTTGAAGTACTGTAGAAGTCCACGTCTTGATTATGACAATATTTTCGTTTCGAGTTACATGTAGTATCCATTTTAGTTGTTGCTGCTGTTAAAAGTCCTTAAATTATGAGGTTTCTGTCATTTGGTACAGTTACTTTTGTGCGATTCTGTAGCGCCAGTCCACAAAGTACAAAGAAGGATGGTCTTTGCCATGATCCGCAAGCTTCAATCACTCAAATCGATTTTTAAATATTGATTCGAGAAAGCTGTTATATACAGCGGTTTTGACACTAACCCGGATATGAAACCCGATATTTCAGAACGGTTTTGGCATCAAATATGTCACCCATATGAAAGTCTCAACATGACTAAGCTATTTTAGAACATGACACGAGTTTTCAGATTAATGGTTCGTGTTTGTAGCAATTTACAGTGTTGGAGAAAAACTACTTCTAAGGAAATCTATTCTAGGTTCAATTTCCTTATCTCTAAATGTGTTGCAACCGATCCATTTACCAAGATAATTGAAATATTTAGTATTTACTAATTCTACATCTCGGATTTTTATTAAGTATTCAAGGTACGCACTTCTTTTACTTTAAGGAAACTGACAAATTGACCTACAGTATTTCTTGAGAGTACATATACAGGGTGCGATGGATAAATTGTCGTCTAAATTATATAAAAAAAAAAAATGAAAATAACGCTAACATCTCATTTTAACAGATACTTTTAACAAAATTATACAAAAATATTAAACTCATAAATTTATTCAATAAATCGCCATTGGCTTCAAGCATGGCCTCCAGATGACTTCGAAATCACCGGTAACTCTTCTGGGCGGTCTCCTTGTTTAAGTTGGTGAATGCTGCCATAATCCTTGCCTTCAGTTCATCTTTTGTGTTACAAGAAGTTTTGTTGGTCTCTTGCTCAACTGCGACCTGCACATAGTAATCAAGGGGATTGTAGTCTGGAGGGTTAGGTGGCCAGGTGTAAGGGGTGATGTGGTCACGAAATTAATAATATAAAATGTCAACAGTTTACCCATCGCACCATGTACAATACCATATATTTATTAAGATTACACGCATATATGCCTGTACAAAAGTAACCTGTTTGAAAGTGTGTGGACAAAATTTGCTCATATGCCGACAATATTAATTACAGATCACTGAATTAACAAAATCATTATTCTCACATCGTCGGCATCTCTAGACTTGCTTAAGTCTTTCAATCAAAGGAAACCTGTCTATGTCCTTCGTTTTATCTTTTTCAAGATTATACGTTTCTCACAGTCCAATATTGTTGTCCCTGTCTTTATTGTTATTTCTGGACATGAATAATTTATCTCGTTATATAAAGGACTGTCCAACTTTTGCACAAATCATTCTTCTCTTTTACACCGCCAAAATCTTTTCTGATCAGTTCCAACAATCCAGCAAGAATGAAATTATTCTTGATCCTATGTTTTGCAGCAACAGCAGCCTGGGCAGAGAAAAATGATTCTGCACCAGTGGCGCATTCCCTTTTCCCAGAATTCTGTATGTATTTTCTCATTTCATTTCCTTTGCCTTATTATTCAGCAATCCTCTTTTTTATATGCTATATCCTTTTAGAGTGGAAATGATCATGGCTCTCCTCAACTTCTACTCATTTGCTGTTCTAAGTAACTTTTAACCCTTTGCAATTTATTTTTTTTATATTTGTCACCCATTCACACAAAACTTAAGTTATTAGTTCTACTTGTCTTGTGATCATTATGCCCTGAGAGTCTTAGATCTTTTGCATTTAAATGATAGCAAACGATTCGTATATCTATGACTTATTTCCAAGTCCTTCCAATGTAAATAATTCTTTTAGATTTGATTTTATATAGTTTTTAAAATCATTTCACCCCAAACAAGGCAACAAAGCCACTAAGACGCAACGAGTTTCTGAGTATGAGAGAATATGAGAAGAAAAACATTAAGGAGAGAAAACAATAACAGAACAAGAATTAAGAAGATAAAGATTGGCATAACATTGTAATGTTAGAATGTAAGAAGATCAAAGTTGAATGGGGGGGGGGGGCGAAAGACATTTCCACAGGCGAGAAGTGCGCGAGAAGAAACTGTTAGAATAGAACAGTTACATCTTGCCATTTCAACTATAAAATGATGAAACCTTACCGCCTATCTAGAACTGCACCTAAACTCCTAAAGTCCAGGTAACATAGAAGGAAATTCATCAGATCAATTATTATGGAAGTATTTATGAAAAAGGCACAAAAAAAAAATACATTATGGCGGTGGGAATGTGACTGAATCTAAGATTCCAGATTATGAGCAATAATAGATTCTTCTTTGTATTTAATCAAGAATCAATACATAGTCGTAGCAATATTCAAAGTATGGGCGAATGGTAGTCGTATAAGTATGTGAGTAAAATTCCGGTGAAAAAGATCGTCTCTTAAAGTCTTCAATAAATATCTAGAGCGATAATTATTGTATAAAAATTATGAGATAGCCGAGCAGCCACTTGGAAAACTCACCCATAGGCTTAACAGCTATGTTCGCTTTATTCCTTTTATCTAATAATTTTAAACAAAAAATCGCTGCCCAAATATCTAATGTATTTTTTTTGTTTTAATCTCATATGATCTACGGTGTTGAAAATGACTTAATAACACCAATGCTATTTTATTGGTTTACTTTTTAAATTCTGATTTTTTTCTTTTATACTACATGTACTTCTTCGAAAGTAAAATATTTTTCTTCTATAAGGAAAAACAGTATTTGATCTGTACCATTTTGCAGAAAATCTTCTTTCTTCATTTTTGTAACTATTTTGCAATTTCATACACATATTTTTCTCGCATATTATGGCCGATAGACGAAAATAATTATACTGGGCGTCTACTCAAATATAGGTCTCCCCTAAAAATAACAGTTGATATATATATATATATATATATATATATATATATATTAACCATTAATATTATCTATCTACAGATATAGTGTTCTCTCTCTCTCTCTCTCTATCTATATATATATATATATATATATATGACTGACCCCTAATATATATATATATATATATATATATATATATATATATATATATATATATATATATATATGTTGTGATCTAACATGATGAAAGGTTTTGATATGACTTAATAATACCATTGCAATTTTCTTTTCTACTATTTTAAGAATATGAAATCACAGTGCTTCATCGTTTTCTTTCTGATCAATTTCAGACAACAGTTGATATATATATATATATATATATATATATCGGTAAAAAATTGTTTTGCTAGAAAGATTCTGTACAAAAACTTATTGTACAGACTAAAATGAGAATTGGAAAAACAGGCACCTAATATTTAATATAGTGTTATTTATTTATAATATATGAATTTTTACAGAGAAAAATTAAAACATAGTTACTTACAATCTGTGCAATGAATTAAGTACGGGTTTGAACTTGTCGATGAAAAATATTTCTTTATTAATCCGCCTTTATTCAGTGTTTCTGTAGCCGCACTTGTAGAGTGGGAAGACACTAAAATTTGGCAGATTTTGTTCTCTGCATTACTGGTGTGGGAGTACCTACTTTGTTGGCGGTTAACTGTCATTCTTTGTCGGAGTGACTGGCCAGTTTGGTCAATCTAATGCTCGTAGCAACATTTGTATGTAATTATATATATATATATATATATATATATATATATATATATATATATATATATATATATATATATATATATATATATATATACCATTGTTATTTATGAATTAACATGTTCCATAAGGAACTGAGTTCCTGATCAAACCGAATCCATGAATAATTGTATTAGACATACCACTACATGGCATCCCAATAGGATTCCCGCTACACCTCTATGACCAGATCTCAGTTAGAACACATTAAACTAGGTACCTCCAAAAATTTGTATGCCTAAGGTTTACATGTATTTTTCATAAAGGAAATTTTCTTTTTCGAAGCTTTCCCTCAGCTTCAATTGAAAGTTAAAGGATTAAATCTTCTAATTCCAGAAAAAAATACTGTGGAGTATTTCAAATAAAAATATGAATGATTTTTAGTCGATTCTTCCGAATAATAAATGGAAACAGCCATTTTTAACTTTTTAAAAGAAATTTAAACAACTTATTTTTTCTCTTTTTGAAAATCCCGCTAAAATAAGATATCCATTTCTGAAACGTTACTTCTGTAAAATTAGCAAATTTAAAGTTAAATTAATCTGTTCTGAAGCAAATATCTCTTATTGCATAAAATTTTCAAAAAAAAAATTCTTGACCTCGGTGGATTGTTATTTTCGCGTCTCCATCGATAATTTGATGGTCGAATGTGTTGACAGGTTTAGTACGATGCACCAAAATTGACATAACGGTTTTTATTTGTTTCTTCCAGTAATTTAAAATACTATAAAAATTTCTTACATTATTGAGTTACCTCTATAGAGGTATTTCATTATTTAATAGCTAAGATAATGATAAATAATTTTATTAATTATTAATATTACATTAAGTTATTGCATAATTAATTTAATGATTGGGTTAATAATTAATAATATTATTATTATGTCAATAATTAAAAGATCTCATTCAGTTATTAATTGTTTAAATTGATAAATGAAATAAATTTATTATCTCAATTTAATTTTTAATTTAAAAACTAAGAGTGAGATAAGCCGAAAACCCTTATATGACAAGGGGCTTTCGCTAAGGAGGAGACAAGCCTTGAAACA